TAGTTCTTCCCTAGTCTCTTCTGCTCAGAAAGATATAATTACTTATTGCCTGGAGGAGAGGTTTTACCTTTCAGATGGAGAGCAAATGCCTTTAACTGTTGTGTAAAGAATAGGGTTCATTCTTTCATCAACATTCAATTGACTCATCTATGACATGCAGTTACCGTCAACCTTTTCTCGGGCCTCCTAACTTCTCAGTCTCTTATGCAGTCTTCAGTCTATCAAATGCAGACGTATCACTGGCAAAGGACTATTCCGTAGACTTGGGCAATCTTTAATGTTAAAGAACTTTTTGTCTCCTACGTGAATAACACTGATTCATTGGCCATGTTCTCATCTGTAGGCTCAGGGAAGAATTTATGGAAAAATTAAAGAAGAAAACTTTGTTAGTCCTAAAGAAGAGGTGAAACTTGAAGCTCATATCAGAGTGCCATCCTTTGCTGCTGGCAGAGTTATTGGAAAAGGAGGCAAAACGGCAAGTACTTCAGCAAAACCTGTGCAGTGGTATGAAAGGGAGAGCGTTGAAAGGTACTTAGGAGTTCCAAGTCCCTGAATTTTGGCTAATTTATAAAAAGCAGGACCATCTGGGCCAAGGTTCGGAGAAGACTGTCTTTTGTTCCTCCTGAGTGTTGGTGTCAGCTACTGGTGAAAGTAATGCCTCTCTTTCAGACCACTTTGTGTGAGAAAACTCATTTATAAGGGGCATTCAGCATTTTTCTGTTGACATAACTCAGCTTTTAATTTTTATTGCACAGTGACATGAGAAAAATTTTTTTAAATTTCATCTTTTATAACTTGTAACTCTATAACCGAAAATTGTTTCCCAGTTTTAATGCATGTAACTAAGTCATTTTCAAAGCTATTTACAATTTTGAAGTGATTGAAAGCGTACACTTTGGAAGCAGACTCTCAGGGTTTGAATTTGGTTCTGTCGTTCACTTGTGTAACTTTGGGCAACGCAGTTTCTTTCCTAGCTAAGCCTTAGTTTTCATCATCTTGCAATGGGGACAATATTACTAACTGTACAGAATCATTACTGGATTGGGTGAAATTTGTAAAGCCATAGCTAGTGTTTGGCATAGTAACTGCTCAGGAAATGGTAACAAAAACAAAACAAAACTTAACATGATTTGTATTTATCTTTTTCAGGTGAATGAGCTCCAGAATTTATCTAGTGCAGAAGTTGTTGTCCCTCGTGACCAAACGCCTGATGAGAATGATCAAGTGGTGGTCAAAATAACTGGTCACTTCTATGCTTGCCAGGCAAGTGGGCTCTGATGTGATACGCAAGCTCTAATGCTTTTTTCCCAAATGGAAACAATTTTCCTGTGGGTACCAAACACTTAAAAAAATTTTTTTTAATTGATTTATATTTTCAAATGAGTTGGTTTAATTTCAGGGGGTACAGAATTCGGGATAGAAAAAAGACTGAAGAACACACTTTGATAGGACTCTAGGCTGGGTCTACTGTGATCTCATAGCTAAGTTAAAAATGGACAAGTGAGAAGAACTAAAGAGATGAGCCACTGCATTATTACTATTAACAAAAGTTTTTTCTTAAATGTACCACAGGCTCCAAGACAACACTTCGTTCTAGCTCAGAGGTCCTCAAACTTTTTAAACAGGGGGCCAGTTCACTGTCCCTCAGACATTCCACACTTGTGCACTGCGGGCCCGGGACGAGTCGGCTGCTAAGCAGGACAGGCAGCGGAGGCAAAAACACCCGGCGGGCCGGATAAATGTTTTCGGCGGGCCGCATGTGGCCCATGGGCCGTAGTTTGAGGACCCCTGTTCTAGCTTATAGGTGGCAAGAGATGTTATAACAGGGAATTCGGATGTTAAAATAAATGGAATTGCCTCAGGCCCAAGGACCAGCTCACTTTTTGCCAGATTTAATTCCACTAATGGCCTGGAAACACTTTTATCCTGAGTTTCTTTTTATGCTTCTCCTGGAATGCCTTATCTTCCTCATCCATCTCTTTGCCACCCTCACAGATGGACGTGGCCCCTTCCCCAGAAACTGAGCTCTCCGTCATACCCCTGTGTCTATGCCTCCAGGTGGGCCCATTGATTCTAGTGCCACACACTTAATTCTTCTTTTAGCAGGTGACTTCAGAGACTACTAGCAAACGAATTAGTATGGATAATTAATCTTCAAATAAACTTCTGTGTGAAGTTTTTGAAATGGGAAAGTAAACCAACTTTGAGTAACCGTTGATCAGGTGGAAATTTCAAAACTCTCTCCTTCTGTAGGTTGCCCAGAGAAAAATTCAGGAAATTCTGACTCAGGTAAAGCAGCACCAACAGCAGAGAGCTCTGCAAAGTGGACCACCTCAGTCAAGACGGAAGTAAAGGCTCAGGAAACAGCCCACCACAGAGGCAGATGCCAAACCAAAGACAGATTGCTTAACCAACAGACGGGCTGACCCCCCATCCAGAATCACATGCACAAGTTTTTACCTAGCCAGTTGTTTCTGAGGACCAGGCAACTTTCGAACTCCTGTCTCTGTGAGAATGTATACTTTATGCTCTCTGAAATGTATGACACCCAGCTTTAAAAAGATAAAAAAATAAGGGGGAGGGAGGAAAAGAGGAGCTCTGCACTTCCCTTTTGTTGTATTTTCAGTGTAAAAATTTTCTAATTTTTCTTAATATTTCCCATTTATGCAAGAAATTGGCTTAATGATGCACTCACTAAATTCATCAAATAAAAATAGATTGCTCCTAAGTGAGAATAGAATTATTATAGGAACTTAAATGTTAAGGTATCAACGTAGAAAAACGTGTTTTATTTTTATCTAACACTAACATGAATAACGTAAGGGAAGTGCTGAATGGTGTTGGCAGGGGTATTAAATGTGCATTTTTACTCAACTACCTCAGGTATTCAGTAATGCAATGAAAGCAAATTTTGTGGGGTTTTTTTTTGAAATTTTTATATACTTTATAAAGATGAAAGTCCAACTGTTTTTTAAAAAATAAAATTTAATTAGCTAACAGGCAAATAAATGAAAAAAAATTTTTTTACTTCAGGCTGGTGACAGTAAAGCTGGAAAATTAATTTCAGGTTTTTGAGGCTTTTTGACAGTTTTTAGTTGGAAAATCCAATAAATGTCCAGTGACATGGAGCAGTGCCTATATTTGGAGAGCAGCAATACCATTTATTTTTTTTGTTTATGGTAGGGAACGTTTTTGATGGTACTAACAGAGCAAAGTGGTCACAGGAAGTTTTGGAATGGCTAGTTTAAATGGCTTCAGGAGATGTCAATGTTTTTGTTTGGCTAAGTGATTGAGTGCATAATTGCTTTGTGCTTCTGACTATCACTACCTAAAGAAAGTGCATCAGTGGAGATATGCAGCCCCTGTGGACTTGAAACTGATTGGCAAAAAGCAAGCCAGCTTGTCTTACTGGATGCTTAGTTCGCCAATCCACCTCGGAGCAGTTGGTTTACCCTTTGAGCAGACCCCAAAAGAGTTGCTTGCAAAGACCAATGGGGCAGTCAGATGGTGTGAGTGTTTAAAGGCCATAAAAAGCTATATCTGCATGTGCCAGGCACTGCCATGAGCCTCACTAAGCTGTTTTGAAGATTTTTAAACAATGATAAAAAGGAAAGGCCACCTAAAATATTACATTAAATACAGCAGAATTTCTGTATTCTGTGCAACCAGTTATTGTAAGAAAACAATTTTTGGAATATAATTCGAATGACTGTGATAAAACTTTTGACCTGAACTCATTTGCCCATTCTGTAACTTGATGGCAAAACCCAGTATGTACAATTATGTGGGTGTGGGTGGTCTCCAAGACCACACTGCTCTCAGAATTGTTTGTGTTGCTTTTTGTTCATAAAAGGATCACAGTCATCATATTACATGGATCTGAAGGACATATATAATAACCTTTAAAAAATCATTTTGCCTCATTTGTATTTCAAAATGAATTTCTACAGACTAGGTAAGTTTTTCTGATCGGTGTATCAGACATTTTGGAAATGACTTGAAATGTTTTCCTAAATGTTTTCAGAAAACCAGTTTATTTTGTAGTGTTAGCCAAAAAGTGCCCTTTTTGTCACTGAATTCATCTAGCATTCATAATCCCCCCCAACCCCCAACAGCAAATTGCTTAAAAAATAATCATGGACTGGCTTTTAGGTGAGATGTGCTTATGGCCAGAACTCTTCCTCAGTATTTGATTTTGCCAATATTTGATGAGTTGTTTTTTTAAAAATACAGATAGGTGCTACATTTATATCTGCTGGTTTAAATTCTGTCATATTTCACTTCTAGCCTTTTAGTGTGGCAAATCATGTTTTACTTTCAATTAAGCATTGGTAATGGAGTATCTGGTAATAGCTAGAAAATAATTCTGTAACTGAGTTTGTACTCACCGCATATGGATCATTCCTCATTTGTAATGTGCCCAAATGCAGCTTCATTTTCCAGACACCTTGATGCAGAATAAAGTTTTTCATCATTAGGTGCAGCTTGATGTGTAGTATGTTTTTATTTTCGATTTTTCAAATAAGTATGAATGTAAGTTATAAATTTAAACAGATTTTTAGTAATGCTATGTCATTCTCAAGTTAAGCACCAATATCTATTAGTTATTTTCTTTATTGCATGGTACTTAATGTGAACCTTGATAATACTGTTTGCATATGAACTAAGAATTATAGGGCTAGTTATGTGTTTTTGCTTTATTTTTAAAAATGTTATCTATTCCATTCTACCTAGTAATACTTACACTTAAGTAAAATTAATTAAAAATCTGAGTAGAGCGTTCAAGTGAAACATGGGGACCAGTGATAACTCCAGGAAATACTCCTGGGATCTCAGGAACAAAGACAACATTAAAACTGTAGTTGAAGCTCCTTTACCTGCAATCTCCACATCCTGGTGTCAGTTAGCATGATGTCCACGGTCAGATAAGACTTGTTTTGATAATAACTTACCCAATTAGGTGGGGGTTAGGAGCTATATTTTTGAGAAGCGACTCAGTCTGAAATGAGTAAACCAGTATTTTATTCACATTTGAACTCCATTGGAGTCAGGGAGGAAGGGTCATCTTCTATTCCAAGAATGAAGTCTTCAGGTAATGTCTCAGGTGCGATCTGAGCTAACTGGTCATCATAAGAACGCAGGGTCCATAACTTCTCCAGTTCATACATTTCTCTGGTCTCGGGAAGCATCAAATGAATCACCATGCTGCCTATCAAGGACAGGTAAGAGTGACAAAGAAGAAGCAGTTTGTTTGCTGTTATGCTTGTGATCTCACAACCGTAATAGTTCATTACTCACAGTATAACTATAGGAACTCAATAGTTCTCAAAGTGTGGACCACAGAAGAACATCGTCTGAAAACTTGTTAGAAAACTGTGGGCCCCATCCAGCAAAATACCACCGAAATGCTGTGTTTTTGTCTCAGTGCATCACAGAGGAGGTACATGATGCCAATAGATACAAGTTAACTGTTTCCAAGTGACTAGCCAGTCAGCTTTCTCTTGAGAATTCTCCAAATGTGTTTTGTTCTGGGCTTTATTTTTTACAGAGAGGAAGGGAGAGGGATAGAGAGTTAGAATATCGATGAGAGAGAGACACCGATCAGCTGCCTCCTGCACACCCCCCACTGGGGATGTGCCCGCAACCAAGGTACATGCCCTTGACTGGAATCGAACCTGGGACCCTTCAGTCCACAGGCTGACGCTCTATCCACTGAGCCAAAGCAGTCAGGGCTGGGCTATCTTTTTTGAGATATTCTCTCTCTGGAGCAAAGGGCAGCTTTGCTTACACCAGTGGTTCTCAATCAAGGACATTTTTTAAAAAATGTGTATTTTATTGATTTTTTACAGAGAGGAAGGGAAAGGGATAGAGAGTTAGAAACATCAATCAGCTGCCTCCTGCACACTCCCCACTGGGGATGTGCCCGAAACCAAGGTACATGCCCTTGACTGGAATCAAACCTGGGACTCTTCAGTCCACAGGCTGATGCTCTATCCACTGAACCAAACCGGTTAGGGCTCAAGGACATTTTTGATTTGCACAATGGATGGGGGAGATGGGGAGGGATACTGCTAAACATCCTACAATGCACAAGATATTCCTACCCACTCCTACTAAAATTACCTGGTCCAAAACGTTGTGACAAAGCTGAGAAACCCTGACTTACAGCCTTGCCAGAAAAAGTGTCTTCCGCCAGAGCAAAAGCAGACCTGCTTCCTGCCCATCATAAACTATGTAAATACCCAGTTCCTCTCTTAGAACTGTGAGTACAGGCCCCATGTTGCTCTATAGAAGCTGGGGCTTAAGGAACCTGCTCCAAAAGTGCTGCTGTAGGCTACTGCTGTTATGAGTCCATCTCTCACCCTGGAGTAGCCTTTAGTCTTTTACCAATATCCAGATACTGGCCAGCTAACCTGTAAGTAAGATAAAATCTCAGACTCCTCACAGTTCTTGACAGTTACTATTGTATATATTAATACCCATCTTTTCAAATTCCAGTCCTATGTCTGGAGTGCCCTTCACCTCAGCCAAGTTATTTAAGACCAAGGTTTTATGTACCCCAAGCCTTCTAGCACCACTAAGGGATCTGTCCCATCTCTACCATGTTACCCATCCTGTTCTCTATCATCTTTAACCTCTTTGACTCATTACATACGTACCAGGTTAGGTAAGCATTTCACATGTGAATAAGATCACCTGGGTTACAATGAAAACATTTCAAAAATTTTATATGGAAAAACAGCAATTTGATCTCAATCCTGCAACTGAAAATAGTTCAATGCGTCAAAATAACTTACCAAAGTCCACACAGAGCCAGTCATCAGTGTCCTTCCCTTCAATTTTCACATGAGGCTCATTTTTACTTTTTAGGAATTTGTACTGAAAAAGGAGAGATTGTATATTAAAGGGAGAAGGGGTGGGGGAAATCTTACTGAGGTTCTGGTGGTATTTTTTTCTTGGTCTTAAATTTGCCCCATAATTAATAACTTAGGAAAACTAGCCCCCCCGCCCAAATCCTTCCCAATTTCTATACCTCTCTACTGAATACCCCTGCCCAAAACCCTTCTGATAGGGCCACCCTACACATTCACCACAGTGTCTCTGGTGCACAGAGTCCTAAGTTCATTCAATATCTGGTCCTCACCTACATCATCCCGTCTGCCCATCCCAGCTTCCCTTCATTCTCAGGGGAGGCAATGTTAATGGGACTTTCATCATGCCCACATCTATTCCCAACAGATATATTATTAATGTCACAAAGAAGGACATTAACGATAAAAGGGGCAACTAAACAAGATGACAGAACTATAAACATATGTATCAAAGTCAGAGCTCCTAGACACACAAAACAGATAGGATTGAAGAAAAAAATAGATGGCAACAGTAATATAGGAGACTCACTACCCCATTTTCAATAATGGACAGAACAACCAGACAAAAGATCAATGAAAAATAAAAGACTTAACACTGCAAAACAATCGGACTTAACAGACATTAAACAGAACACTGCACCCAACAGCAGCAGAATACATATTCTTTTTAAATGTACATGAAACATTTTCCAGGCCACAAAACAACTCTTAACCAATTTTTAAAATTGATTTTTAGAGACAGGAAGAGAGAGGGACAGAAACCTTATCAATCCTCTGCAACCTTCTCACCCGCCCTGCTGAGGATCGAGCCTGCAACCTGGGCATGTGCCCTGACCAGGAATCGAACCTTTTGGTTCATGGATGGACGCTTAACCACTGAGTCACACCAACCGTGCAAGTCTTAATAAATTTTTTTAAAAATTGAAATAAAGTATATTTTCTGGTCACAATGAAAAGAAACTAGAAATCAACAGAATGAAAACTAAAAATATCCATAAATATGTGGAAATTAACACTTTAAGAAACCAATGGGTTAGAGAACAAATCACAAGGGAAATGAGAAAGTACGTTGAGACAAATTAAAACATAACATTTCAAAACTTATGGGATGCAATGAAACAGTGTCAAGAGGGAAATTTATAGCTATAAATGCTTATGAGAAAAGTCCCCAAATCAAAAACTTACAAGAACTAAGAAATGAAAAACAAAGCTAGCAGAAAGAAGGAAACAATGATCAGAGAGAATAAAATGAAACCAAGATTTGTTTTTTAAAAAGATCAATAAAGTTGGCAAATTTTTGGGTGGATTGATAGAAAAAAATAGAAGACCCAAATAACTAAAATCAGAAACAATTCAGGGGACATTACTATCAATTTTAGAGAAGGAAGACTACTATGAATGATTGTACACCAACAAATTGGATAACCTCCATGAAATGAAAACATTCCTAGAAACAAAACCTACCAAGATTGAATTATGAAGAAATAGAAAGTCTGAATAGACCTACTCAGTAATAGTAACAGGACCAAATCAGTAATCAAAAACCTCTCAAAACAAGTCTATCTCAACTTTTAAAAATCATTATTGTTGAAAGTATTACAGATGTCCCCTTTTTTCCCCCATTGACCCATTATAGCCTGCACCCATCCCCTGCCCTAGGCCTTCACCACACTATTGTCTGTGTCCATGGGTTATGCATATCTCTCTCTCTATAAAAGCCTAATATGCAAAGTTCCTGCGGGAGTTTGACTGGGAGACCAATCGCTTGCTATGATATGCACTGAGCACCAGGGGGCGAAGAACAAAGGGAAGCCCCAGCTGGCAGCTGGGGAAGAGAGGCCCCAACCGGCAGCCAGAAGGCCCCCGATCAGTCCTAATCGCTGGCCAGGCCTAGGGACCCTACCCATGCATGAATTTCATGCACTGGGCCTCTAGTATGCATATAAATTCTTTGGTTAATCTCTTCCCACTCGCCCACCACCCCCTTCTCTTTGAGATTCGATAGTCTGTTCCATGCTGCTATGTCTCTGAATCTATTTTGTTTATCAGCTTATGAACAAAGGGGGGGGGCGGGGATTCTTAACAAAGAAAAGCCCTGGACCAGAAAGCTTCACTGGTGAGTTCTACCAACTATTTTTTTAAAAAGCCAACACCAATTCTTCTCAAACTCTTCCAACGAAATTTAAGAAAAGGGAACACTTCCTAATACACTCAATGAGATTAGCATTACCCTGACATCAAAGCCAGGCAAAGACTATTAGAAAACTATAGGTCAGAATCCTTGATGAACAATGATGCAAAAATCCTTAGCAAAATACCAACAAACCAATTCAATAACACATTGAAAAAATATATACACAACCAATTGGGATTTACTCCTGGAATGTAAAGATGGTTCCACACGAAAATCAATGTAATAAACCACATAAGTAAAATGAGGGACAAAACCATAGGACCATCACAAATTTATGCCAAAAAAAAGCACTTGACAAAATTCAGCATCCTTTCATGATACATTCAACAAGAAACTATCTCATGATAATAAAAGCCCACAGCTATTATTATACTCAATGGTGAAAGACTAGATTTTTCCTCTTAAGATTAGAAACAAGACAAGAATGTCCACTTTCACTCCTATTCAACACAGTATTGGTATTCTAGCCAGATGATTAGAGCAAGAATAAATAAAGAAAGCAAGATAACCAAATTAGAAAGGAAGAAATAAAGTTATCTATTTTCAGAGACATGATCTTATATGTAGAAAACCTTAAAGAATCAAGCAAGAAAAAGAGAACCATTAGAATTAGTAAATGAATTCAGCAACATTGTAGGATACAAAATCAACACACAAAAATCAGTTGCGTTTCTATACACTAACAATGAGAAACCTGAAAAGGAAATTAAGAAAATTCCATTTACACTAGAATCAAAAGAATAAATACTTAGAAACAAACTTAACTATAAAAGCCAAAGACTTGTACACTGAAAATTACAAAATGTTGCTAAAAGAAATTAAAGACGCCAATTAAGTGGAAAGACCCTGATTTCATATATTGAAAGACTTAAAATGGTTAAGAAAGAATGAAAGAACAAGAAAGAAAACAGTTGGAGGTCTCAAACTTCCTGATTTCAAAACTTACTACATGCCCTGGCCAGGTAGCTCAATTGGTTGGAGAGTTATCCCCATACGCTAAAGGTTGCAGGTACTATATCCCGGGTTAGGGCACATACAAGAAGAACCAATGAATGCATAAATAAGTGGAACAACAAATCAATATTTCTCTCTCTCTCTGAAATCAATAATGATATTAAAAAACAAAACAAAACAGCATCAAGGTAGCCATACAGAACAATGGAATAAGACAGCTCTTATGTCCAATGATTTTTAACAAGGGTTTCAAATCCCTTCAATGGGGAAAGAACAGTTTTTTGTTTTTTGGTTAATCCTCACCAGATGATATTTTTTACATATATATTTTTTCTTTTTTTAGAGAGAATGGAAGGGAGGGAGGAAGGGTAGGAAGAGAGAGAGAGAATGACAGTGAGACAGCGAAGCATCAATATCAGAGAGAGAAACATCGATGTGAGAAAGACACATTGATTGGTTGCCTCCCGCACTCGGGGATCGAACCTGCAACCCAGGTACCTGCCCTTGACTGGGAATTAAACACATGATCCTTTGGTGCGTGGGCTGATGCTCTAACCTCTGAACAACACTGGCCAGGGTAGGGAAAGGGCAGTTTTTTCAACAAATGGTGCTGGTAAAACTAGATATCTACATGCATGTGAATGAAGTTGGATCCTTACCTTACACCATCTACAAAAACTACCTCAAAATGGATCAAAGACCTAAATATAAGACCTAAAACTATACAATTCTTAGAAGAAAACACAATGGAAAAGCTTTGTGACATTGGATCTGGCAATGATTTGGATATGACACCACAGGCAACAACAATAAAAATAGATAAACTGGACTTTACCAAAATTAAAAACTGTTGTGCATTAAAGGACACTATCAACAGAGTAAAAAGGCAGCAACCTACAGAATGGGAGAAAATATTGCAAATCTCATTTGACACGAGATTAATATCCAGAATATAGAGAGAACTTCCTACATTGCCCAACTGAATTAAAACATGGGCACATGACTTGAACAGGCATTTCTCTAAAGACATACATATGGACAATAAGCACATGAAAAGATGCTCAACAATAATCTTTATGCAAATTCTTTGGTTAATCTCTCTTTTGGTTAAAAACACAATGAGATACCATTTCACATCCATTAGGATTACTATTATTTACAAGCCGGAAAATAAAAAGTATTGGCAAAGATGTGGAGAAACTGAAACCCTTGTGAACTGCTGGTGGGAATGTAAAGTGGTATAGCCACTATGGAAAAGAGTTTACTGGTTCCTCAAAAAATTAAAAATATAATTACCATGATCTGGCAATTCCACTTTTGATATTAAAAGCAGGGACAAGATGGAGTCAAGATGGTGGAGTAGATAAATCCTGAACTCCCATGAACAAATCAAAATTATTGTTAAACTAGAGGCCCGGTGCACAAAAATTTGTGCACTCGGGGGGAAAAGGGGGGTCCCTCAGCCCGGCCTGTGCCCTCTCGCAGTCTGGGACCCCTCGGGAGATAACGACCTGCTGGCTTAGGCCTGCTCCTGGGTGGCAGAGGGCAGGCCCAATCCCTAGGTGCAGCCCCTGGTCGGGCTCAGAGCAGGGCTGATTGGGGAGTTGGGGCGCCGCCCCCTGTCATGCACAGAGCAGGGCGGATTGGGAGGTTGCGATGCCACCCTCAGTCACGCTCTGGGTAGGGCTGATTGGGGGGTTGGGGCACCGCCCCCTATCACACTCAAGGCAGGGTCGATGGGGAGGTTGCGGCGCCACCCCCTGTCACGCACAGAGCAGGGCCAATCAGGGGGTTGGGGAGCTCCCCCCTGTCATGCACAGAGCAGGGCCCATCAGGGGGTTGAGGAGCTCCCCCCTGTC